ATATATATATTAGTTATATATATATATATATATATATATATATATATATAAAATTATATTTGTCCCGAACCTAGAGTTCTTAGATTTCAATACAGATGATAGCGAGTCGATATTCTTATCGGTTATGCCGTATTTCTTTCTTGCCGAATTGTCAATTGCGTATGTACACGGTAGACAGACGATGAAAATGTCATGGATCAAGTGTCGCATACGTGATCCGCCTATGGAATGTTGAATTGAAGACGAGATATTGAAAGCTTCATGAAAAATATCTCACATTTCTCCGGGAGACAATTATATTAACAGCATTCTCATTTGCATTCAGCTGGAAAAATTTTCATTCTCCAAAATGTCCTTAGAAAAGAGACATAATCGAAATGTAACAGAGGTTTTAGAAAGCGGATCTCATGTCAGTCCGAGTTACTTTTTTCTCATTTTTAATAAAAAAGATTCTATCATTATTTTTCTCGGATAATCCATGTGAGTTTTCCTCGTTTAAATCATTTTAAATTCTTCTTTCTATTTTAAATTCGTCACCCAATATCTGGAATATGTATTTATTGAAAATTTCCATATTTGTCTAACAATCTGTCATCGCGAAAATTGCAAATAAATAAAACGAGCGATTAATCAAATCAAATTGTAACGATAATATAGAGATATTTGCGTTTATTTCAATCGTCTTATAGACCTCAACAATTGTACATGAAGATCAATATCTCGTGTTATCTTTCTACCATCGAGATTGCGAGACGCGTTTTTGCGATCTGTTATATTACATAAGGTTTGTATATTATATAATGAAAAATGTCCACAAAAATATTAACATAATCACAAACTAGTTTACTATACTTGTGCTTTAGAGAAGTCGAAATAAAACTTGATAATGATGATGATATCGGCCAAAACCGAGGGATTTTCTCCGCCGTGAGGAGGATCGCAATGCCAAAGAGCGCGATAACTCATTAAGGGTAGCGAAGCGTTGCATTCGATAAATAATGCTTTCCTATTCTTGCCGAACGTTTTATTCTCTCCGACCCCGCACCTCGCGATATTAAAGATACATTAACTCGCCCGGTGGACCGGCAATTTTTGCTCTGTCCGCGACAGGAATAACGCGAAAGAAATATGACGATGCTCGCCCCTTTCATTTTAAAAGAGCGAACGTAAGAGGAGAGCAATAACAACTCGCCAGTCGTTCAAGAAAGATTCATCGCTCTCCTGCATAAAGAACCTAACGAGCTTACTGAAGCTTAAAGATTTTTCCTCTTGACGGTATCGAACTCGAGTACCGTGGATAAACGCATACAAACGTTACGATGATTTATGAGAGAATGATAAAGTATAATTGAAATTATGTTAACATGATTTCAGTACTTACAGTACTTCTGTCGTCTATTTGTAATCTTGAAGGAGAAATTTTTTAAATGTCTTTATAATTACATCCCTCCGGAGGAGTTATCTTTGTAGCAAAAAAGGGAGATGATTTTATCAAAGAGTTTCATTAAAATTTTATACGTAATAAATTACACTTAATAAACAAAGAAAAAAGTATAAGAATTTTATAACAGCTTTTCAAGACAATTAACTCGGTTGAAAAAATTAATGTGTATTATTGACATTACGTTTCTTGAAGCAAAAATTAAAAACAGATTAAAATTAAAGTTTCGAAAAGAAATAAAAGAAATGGAGAAAATTACGTGATCTTCATCGTTATATAATACCAATCGTTTAATAATTATATTTCTCTATTATTTTTTATATTTGTCAGTAATATATTGCTTAAGTTAAATCATATATTATTGGCTAACTGTGTGTTTTATCGTGTTATTTAAAAGAATACGTATAATGAATGATTTATACTCATAATGCTTTATATAAAGAGAATTTGTGAAATGAGATTAACGAAGTTTGAGGTTTTTCGTTTTGGTTATGTTGAAGCTGCTATTTTAGCACCATAAATAAAATTCAGTACGCTCACGCGCGTACCCTCCATTACAATTTATGATCAGGCATGTAATGGAAGTTACATTAGCACGATTTTTACGTTATTCCGATAGACAAATTGCAAAAGTTTCCTCTTTTCAAATTATCACGAGCAAAGATGTAACGATTTGTTTCTTCTCCTGTCGGTATTTCTTTGCTTTAAAGTTTGAAAAATAGATCGCACAACAAAGAGTTAGATTCTTTTTGCTCTATCTAGATTCGTATTTTTCAATCTTTAAGCAATGCCCTTGCAAATTGCATTACTCGTTCATTTATAATATATCGTTCTCATCACTTTTTAACATTATTTATGATAAGTACAAATGTTAGAATATAATATTTTATTTTTATGTCGTTTGTTTGAACCTGATCAAAAGATTAAGATGTGAAAGATTGCATACCAGCACCACATTAAACTCACATTCCGCGTTTAATATCTCAATAACGTGAAGCGTTCTCGTTGACTGGCGCTGAGCGAGAGATCTGAATATAGAACACCTCGGAAATTCTGAAAGTCGTTTAATAAAATTCCAAACATTTTGCACCATATGGTAATTTTTTTTTTTTTTATTAATAAATAAGAACCTCGGTAACAAAGGAGGAACGAGAATAATTAAGAAAATCCGACGTGTTGCGACCCATATAATCTCCCGCAGATCCGACAGGAGTTCCTTACTTGAGAACAGGTCACGAATAGTCGCGGTCGATCGATTTTTAATATAAATATAGACATATAGTACACGGACACACGCAAATTCGCCTAATCTTCTCCGTCTCCTTCTTCGCGCCAACCTTCCCATTTCTCTTTCTCAACTTTTCTCACTTCCGACGATTCGCTCTCTCTTGCTTTCTATCTCCTCACCACTTCATTCTTTCACTACTGCCGACCTCTCACCATCCATCCTCTTTTAAGCTTTTGTCTTTCTCCCGACTCTTTTCTCTGCCCCCTTTCGTCTGCGCACACATACACATTTCCAACATATTCTCTTTCCTTCTTTCATCTTTTTTTTATTTTTATTTTTTTTTAATTGTCGTCTACCATTTTTCCCGTCACCTTTGTCTTATGCGCTTTATCAGAAGAAATTTATTTACAGAAACGAAAATCGCGTACGTTTGTCCGATATTTATGTCCGATGTCCGATATTTATTATTCTCTTGGCAACAATCGGTGAAATTGGAAATACTCGTTGAAATTGCATCGCGCCATCTTGTTATAACGATCCTCGATCGCGTGGCCTTTTAATATTTCTCTCCGAGACTTTGTGAATTTAAGATATGGCTAATAAGCTGACAAACAGTTACATTTAAATGAAATCGCTCTTATTTTGCTGAAATTACATAAACTTCTTTTTAATTTAAAGAAACCAATATTGAATCACTTTTCAGTTTTCTCTATATCGCAAGCATTAAATATTTTAAGAAGGAAATTATTGTTTCTTATTGTTTTATGAGTCAGAGAGATGAAGAATTAAAGATAAAATATATTTACAAAATTCAATATCAATTCACCTCGTCGTAGATAAAATTGTCGATCTCCTCCAATGGCCTGCCGTAGAATTCGTTCGGAAACGGTTCGAATTTGTTTGGCAGTACCGCACCATCCTCCACCGACATTTTTTTCTTTGGTTGAAAGCCATAGTCACGCACTAATTGCACAGTCTTGTTCTCCAACCTGCTCTCCTTCGTGAACGGCTTGACCGTTTGCTTGCCACTCTTGTTTCCGGGAGTCCTCGCACCAGACGACTTGCTTTCGATCTTGGACTCCCTGACGTCGAGAATGTCATTCGACGCGGTCTGTGGTGTCATGACGTCCGTCTGGATCTCCGCACTTCCGGAATCACCAGTGCCAGAATCGGCGGAGGTACCGGCGGTTCCAGCTAACGGCGGCCGCAATCTCGTGCTATCCTGCGTCCTGGAACCGATTCTCTTCGTCGGCGGGGATTCGCTCTTTTTAGACTCCGGTGAAGTCGGCTTTTCCGGACTCGAAACTCTGTCTGCCTTGTCTGCGTCATCGCGCGAGTCTCTCGATTTGGCGACCGTTTCTAGATCCTCCTTATCCCCTTTCAACGATGGTGAGCTTGGCCGTTCCTTGTCGCTGGTTTGGTAGACTTTTGTCGCAGTTTTGGAATCAATTTTTGACATCCGCAAACTCGGTTCCTCGTACTCGGTATACTTAGGCGGACTTGGACCCACGTATGATGGCGGCGATTTTCTCGACGGTCCTTGGTCCCCGCCAGATCCCGTCGATGGGATGCGGGGCAAAGGTGCTTCGGGATGCCTTGGAGCTTCTCCGAAGCGACGCGGTCCAGCCGCCACTTTGGAGTCCTCACTAGTAATCCGCACGTCAATGGCACTTCCTCTCGGTGACATGCCAGATCGCACGAAGGGTTCTCTCCAGCTAGCAGGAAACTCGGAGGATCCTCGGACGGACCTCTCCGACGAGGCTTGTCCATGACGATCCTCCGGTCGCCTCGGCCAACCTCTTTCCATTGGAAGCGAACCATGGTGATCCCTTCGCGCTAAGTTCTCCGATAACCCGCCACAGGGCTCTCGGAATCTACCTGCGATAACGGATCTTCTCGGTGGTTGAGGTGTCCTGGAAGTCACTCCTCTGAGATGATCCTGACCGTCCAAGTCCCTGCTGCTACCTGGAATATTGAGACTCCTCTGACTACCGCTGTCTCTGGGTCGGTCGTTTGGGTTCCCGGTAGGCCCGTAAATTCCCTCCTTGGCCAATTCATCTAACTCCTCTCTGCTCAAATTCTTCACGTAGAGTCCGGCCACCCGGGGTCGGTTTGTGAAACCATTGTCCTCCGAACCGCTGCTCGGAGGGCTGGGAGGACTTTTATACCCCTCGCTCCCGCCCCGCCGAGATGTCATTGGGATCTTTGCTCGATCATCCCTTTCGATTTTGTACTACTTTCGTCGGCCTCATACTACGGCTAGATCGTCTCGGTGCTCGATTGCTGCCGATCGATATCCCTCACGTTGTTATCGATCGATCCAACCAACAGGACTTTGAAGCATTAGAGATTACAATGCGATATATCGCGCTGCCAGTTATGTGCCGCTGATTTCTCTTTTCCTATCTCAACGGTTTATATCGTTTTACTTCGATCACTGCGATTGCATCTAGGCTATTTCGGAACGTCGTTAACTTCTGCCGCAGTGCTAGCTCGCAGTGAAAGCTCGCGTGAAACATCTTTTTTTTTTTTTTCAAACTTCACATTGCGTATGATTACACTTTTAATTAACACTCGTGAAATTCACATTTGAAAACATTTTTTTGAATATAGAAATCGTGCTTCTCTCTTTTTTAGGATGTATGGAATCACGCGAGTCGAAGCTGAAAATTTACAATACAAAAGATAGCAACCTCAGATTCGTATATCGATGCACTATGTTGCAAAATTGTACTATGCGATGATTTATTTCTCGATATTTTAGAATGACTTAGGAAAAAATTACGGATAAATAGACAATATCCGACACAAGTTTCTATTGACGGCCAATAACGAAAAACGCCGGAGAGCGTGTTGTTCGCATGTGATGGATGGGCGACGGAGACTTCTTGTCTGCTCACAACTTGCTGCTTCCTGCACTTTGAAGTTTCTAGTGATCTCGCTTGTTGAAAACGATGACGCGTGCTGACAAATTACAACGGTGATTATACCGTGTCGCGGTTTACGACGGTGCAAGGCACGATTCGACGATGCTTTTCGAGCCGAATGACGAATCTCTCTCGAAATCACAGAAAGTTCGATCGCTAGTCCCCTCGAGTTACACCGAGTCACCCTCGCCGCATTGTCGAGAGCGGTTTACACATACTCGCGTGGTATACTCCTCATGTCGTGTCGCGGTTTAAGAGGTCAAGGAGTCCGTGCCTGTACATAGCTCACTCCGAATGTCGGCGGCTGCCGAGTGTCATGGTACTACCTACTATAAACGATCGACCGGTCGCATCTACCAGCCCTTGGAACTCCGAGTCGTTTCGCCGACAGTCCAGGTGAATTTCATCATAAATATATGCGTGCGGCAGCGAGTGAAAGTCGACCACGTGAGCCTTCACGACTCGCGCCGATCATCGATCATCAGCCACGTCACTGGTGGCGCGTAAACTGTCGTGTAAATCGTACTGCAGCTCGTCATGTATCGCACGGGGATGAAACGTCCCGCGAGGGGCGTTGATCCTCGCAGGTCCTCGATCGATAGCTTGATCGACAGTTCGAAAACGCGGATACGTGCGTTCGTTTCTTTATCCCTTCACGATCGTCTCCCATTTACTTCTGTTTCGCACGAGGATGAAATTTGGATAAGTGCACGTCGGAAACGCACGAAGCGTCGTCGACTGTCGGTCGATCACCCCGACCCTCTCAACGTTTGTGGCTCGCGTTCCGGCGGGATCACGCGAAGAGGATCTCGAGGGCCTCGAGAATGAACTGTCGGTGACTAAGCGGTCAGGCGCGATTAGCCTGTTCGTCAAGCTATACACTGGCGGGGGAAAGGATGGGAGGGAAGGCGCGTCCGCCTACACACAATCGCGCTCTCGCGGAACAGCGTGATCGGCTCGTATTAGCGTACCACTATCATCATCAGCACCCACTACCACGAGACGTTAGGGGATTAGCGGTAAGACCAACGCGGTCGGCTCCGCGATATCCCCCACAGTCAGCACTCACTCGTCATTCGTCATCCGCCGAGGTAAGGTAGTCGTTGCGACGCGAACGGACGACCGAACGAGGGGCACAACGATGATGAGGACGATGATGAAGAGAAAAACCGGAAGCGAAAAAGAGAGACAGTCCGTGATCGAGAGAGAAGAACGTTCGTGGGAAAGAAAGAAAAGGGAAGGACCGAGCGAGAAAGAAAGATAGATAGAAGGATAGAAAGAGACAGGTGAAAAGAAAGAGAGAGAAGAGAGAGAGAGAGAGAGAGAGAAAAGCCGTGGTGCACCCTCGTCGTATAGTCCAGTAAATTCTGCTCGAGCGGGGGTGCAAAATCACGGGCGTCTCTTCCGAGAGCTGTGGCGGCACTGTCGGCACCGAACCCTCATCGGTACCGTGCGCGCGCGCGCGTATCGAACCAAGCCGAGCCGGAGAACCAAGCCGCCGGCCACACGGAATCTCCTTGTCGGCGTGGCCGTGTGCGTGCCTATACACGTAACGATAGGACCTCGAGGCATGTACACACGCGCGAAAACGTGGTGAGAGAACGAGAGGGTGGCAAGGGATGGTCGCGGAAATGGTGGTGTGGTTGTTAGTGGCCGTTGCTGGTGGTGGTGGTGGTAGTGGCGGCGGCGGCGGCGGCGATGGTCGCGGGGGGGTACCGCGTACCTGCACGAATACCCACTGACGCTAACCCCCACCCGTGGATCCACAACGAGCGCAGCCAACCCCCCTGCAGGTGGTGGCAGTGACGGTGGCGGTGGCGATGTTGGCGGTGGTGGTGATGGTGGAAGTCGTGGCGAGCAGAATACGGTAAACAGGCGGAACGACCGGGCGAACGGTACCCCTCGTTCGGCAGGACACGCGTTGTAATTAATCCGTCAATCGACACCAGATTCTGCTAGATGAGAACCGGGTTAATGCGCGAAACAGTGAAAACGATTCTCCCTCTTCCGCAAGCGGCACGTAATTCTCCTTACGCGATTATCGTTTTCGCGATACGAAGGGATTTTGCGATAACGGCGCACGGCCAACGGATTTCCGTTTAACGAGATCGATAGAATCTATAGTTTAGCTGGGGATTGTGAATCGATTTGCTGACGCGAGTTCTTGGCGATTAAATTTAAGCGGGCGTCTTATCACGGATTGTATAAATCGAAATATGGACATTCTGACGATATCTTGATACCGCTATCAAGATTTTTAAGTGTCTTTCTTTTAAGCGTCTTCTCGAAAACTACGGAAATCGATACTTTAAACAAGACTCTTGATTATTCTGATTATATTTCGAGTTTCTCTTGACGAAAAATTTAAGTGGATTTCTTATACCGATAACGAGAAACTGTAATATTACATGATAATATTTAAACTTTTACTTTTTTTAAATTTATGCAATTATAATTTTATTAGATTGAGTAAGTTGAGAACCGTTTTTAGTTTTATTTAATATCCATAATAAACTTTTAGATAAAGTGTTCGAAATAAATCATCGCTTAATTTAAACCATGATTTTATCTTGACGGAAAGTTAAACAAGAATGTAATTAAATAAAGGTACATCAAATGAAGTAAGGAACTGTATCATTTTATCGCGATGCAATAGTATCATCAATGTTACGAATATTATAAAATTATATCGTAAAAATATTTAAAAATTAAATTAAATTAAAAAATCAGAAACTGAAATTTCATAAACAAAAAAAGATATTTTAACAAAAATTTAAATAGAAATCATCGGATCAGTAAATAAAATTAAATATGAGAAAATTTTAATCAATTGAGCTTTTGGGGGGCGTAAATAAACAGCAAAGCTTTATTAGTATTACCGTTTCACTAATGTGAATACTTAATACTATTAATTATTTAATAAGAATTTTACAACTAAGTTATATTTAAGTTCTTTCACAAATATACTTCTGTCTATATTTTAACAGCGACTTAGTTGGCGTCGTAAGTAACAAGCAATTTGTTAGGATTAATTTCACAAAGGACAAGGAATATAAACGATCCCTGTCGGTAGGTTTCCTTCTGTCTTTTCGGGAATTCCATTACAGGAATTTCCTTCTATTAAATGATTATCCGTATTCTGAATTAAAACAGAGCTAATCGATCCGCGACGTTACGCGATATCCGAGGAGTATAAATCCGGCGATTAAAGTGACATTAAATATGTATGATGGATAAAGTATGACCCATGCATGCAAGGAGAATCTTAAGCACATCGATAATATATGAGATGCTATTTTGTACCGGACTCCATCTGGTCCCTTAAACTAGACGTGATTTTCTTGTCTAAGCAGATTGCGTTAACGATAATAGTTCGAGACGGAAAATTTACGGCGTATATTTTATTATCGCGATATTATCGGTGCTATTCGTTTTGCTCGTCGTTTATCGCACGATATTGCGAGATTGCGTTGGATCTCAAAGGTAGTACGTGATAATAATGGTTAATTATAGAGACAGGTGAAACGCGTGCATCCTCTTTGTAAACTAATAATATACTTGCGATTGGCGAATATATGGTTTTGGATATACGACTCACTCTTAGACTGTGCCATGTGAATTCCAGAACTTATTGGGTAGTACATTACTCTCTCGGAAAGTATCCGAACATACATTCCCACGAGTATAAGGTAAAAGTACTTTCGTAGCACGAGCAATCTTGTAATAAGCTTCCCCTTCAGCTTAAGAGCCATGTCGGATAATTGAAATTGAGCCGGATAACTGCAATGATTTCTGCAGGATGCGATCCACAAATTGAAATTTACTGAAGTTTATTTAATTGTCAGGTTCTTCATAACAATTAATAGCGAGTCATTAAAAGATTCGCGACTATTGTGGCATCGTAATTCCACATGAATATTTTGTACTTCTTGAAAATAACATATATTAATTCTGAGGATAGGTGATACATAACAAGCAACACATTGTAGTAATTCGCAATTATTACGAATTCTCGTAATCAAGTGCAGCTGTTGCGCACTACAAACAATTAGTATGTAATCACTTTCATGGTGTGCCACATCCATTTTTGTACAATTTCTCTCTGAATGTTTCGATTCATATCAGAGATAATTTGAAACATTAGGCTACCTTTGTATCAATTTGCAACAACGATAGCACTTCTAAAATTAAAATTGATGTATTATTCGAACGTAAATATATCTTTATTATTTTCGCTAAAGAGGCTCGTCATTCTTGCGAGACGTGGATCGGGAAAACCTCAGCTTCGTCTTGATGCTAGAGAAGATTACGTGCAACAGCTGTGCCTGAATATGCATCTTGACGCATAGTTTCTACAAAACCTACGGCATGATGCTTCGTAATATTTCTTATAAGATAAGCTACTGAGAGGTAAGATAAGCCACGGGGCGATGCATCGCCTTCGCGACGTGTGTGTAACTAATATTGTTTACGATTTTCCATTCGTGTGAAATGCACTTGCAGCAACCGTGAATTGTGAAATACATCTTGCCCTTGGTTTCAGTATTCAACGGAATTTAGATCGAGGACAAAACGCGTTTATGAACACGGAATAGCAGAGGTTTGAAATAAGAACGACGTAAATGTCGCCTATGTTCTATTAATTTAGATTATAACTATTGATTGATTTTATAAAATAATTTTACATAACTCAGATGCATCGCGTTACGTAATAATCAAATAAAACTTTTTATATATAGCCATAAAAGTTTTTTTGAATTAAGAATTTTTAATGAGGATAGAAAGTTTATAATATTTACCAAATCAAGTTTATAATATATTTAAAAAAAAGACATATATCAAAAAGATATTTACAGTTTGTCACTGATATTCAAGCAAAGAAAGAAATATTCTTGAATCATGTAGAAAATGTAGAAAATTATGGCACATAAAAGAACTCTCTGACAAATCACACACATCTTTTTCCCGATAAATATTACTTGATGATCGAAGCATTTTTATAACAACAATAAAAAAGCTCATCGTTAATGGGACACAGAGGCGGATGTGCCGGATATTGCTTTTACATCCATTCTTATGTGTCCAACTCTTACAGCTTGTGATTACAACTTCTCTTTTATCCGTTTCTCGTGTCCTCCCGTGCCATAATAGTCTTCAGAGACAGCGGAAAGGGGACGAAACTCCACAATGTGGAGCGTCATCAACGGGACTTATGAAGGATAAGTTGTTCAAACCTCCGGAAACCGAGTCCTACTTAGGATTTATAGCGCCGCGAACTTCTCATCTCCCGGCAAGTGCTGATGCCTGTTCATTTATTTGTGTTTTCATGAGGGATTCCGCATTCTTTCCACTGGGAGCGTTGCCGACTATTAATCTTACGTAACGCGCGAATTGTTAACGTTATACTTTTTTTTACCGATTATTTCGCGAAAACGTACGAGTCTACGCGAGTATGCACAGTAATAAATGTGTTTGGTAAAGTAATAATTCTTTGCTGAAAACTGAATATCTTTTTCTGTATAGAGATTTATTTGCACAATTTTCTCTTTCCATAATCTTTGAAATTTTGAATATTAAATGTCTTGATAACGTGGCTTTTAATTAAAAATCTGGAATCCAAAATGTCAAAAAATCAAAATTTTTTAAAAATAAAACTAGAGTTTTGTTTAAACAAGATTTTAATATTCAACGCGTAATTATCAAATTATCAAACATCAAAAATTAAGGAAATGTAAAAGAAACATTACGCGATGAAATTTTAAAAAAACATTTACTTTGATTTGATGGAAAAATTCGTAGATAGATTTTGCATATGCAATTTTTCAATGCGCTACGTAAATTTTGAAAAGATTATAATTTATTTCGTTTCTCAATTAATGTTTCTCAATAACCGAGAAGAGAATAGAAATATATGATTTGCATCAAGTGAGGCAACGTAAGCGTGTTAAAACTAGTATTAAATACAAAGTACATGCTATTACATCGCGAACGGGACGTTGCTGTAAGCATGCCCAAAGAACGTAGAGAATAGAGCTTCTTGAGCTTTCATACCGTCATAAGTTGTGCTGACTTGATCCCTGACTCAAATCAGTAATCTCTCCATTGTGAAATTTAATGCAACATCTCTACCGGCGACCGAATTGCTTTATCAGTTGAAAGTTACGCGGTACTTGCAGGGGATGTTGTACCGTTGCAAACAAGCAATGACAAGTAGTGACCGCAAAAGAAAAATGATAGCTTAAAAAAAATTCATAGCAACTTGTTTAACGACATTAATTTTCATTTTTTTCTATATATTTATGCCTCGAAGAAATAGAGGAGTGATAGATTATAAATTAATTTAAAAAAAGAGAGGATTGCGGATGTGCGTTTTCAAAATTATTTATAAAATTAAGCACACATAAAAAGAACTTACACATATAAAACTAATATAGATACTTAATGAAATTAGCGATATCGCAATGCAGCATTGCCTCTTCGAATTCAACAGATGTAAAATTTATTTATTCACTTTTATCGTGGCTCGATAAGAAAGACTACGCACTGTTGGAAAGGGGTTTGCATTATCGTTTGTTGTAAAATCCAAAATTTTGTAAAACCGGAAAAAAAATTAAAAGAAAATATAGAGATAGCTCAACCATTTTCTTCCCGCGAACGTGGGAAGAAATATGTTTTTATTTCTTCCTTTTTATTTGTTTCTCTTTATTTCTTAGCATATTTGTATTTCTCGTGATAAACGTGTAACGCGTGACACCCAGTGGATGGAATTCACTTTACATCGAACGTTAGTTTGTCGATAACATCGTTTATAAATAACATAAATTTTTGTTATTTATGAAAAAGATAATGATACTATATACATAAAATACTCGAAATGTTTTTTTTTTTTTAAATAGCTAATTCATCATGTTTGACACATTTTGTTTTAATGATTAAAAGTGGCGAAATATTTTTGAGGAAAATGTGGGATACAAATAGCGTTACGAATTATTCGGATTAATTTTTATGAAATAATTGAGAAATAAGATTTCTATAAAAATATCTGATATTTCATTTTCCATACAAGTTTGATATTTCAAATATATATTCAAATATATATTCACATATGAAATTATTGCACAGATATATACATATAAATATTTACAATACTCGGCAATCATTCTTTATACGATAATTACATGTAAAAAAGAAAAGGAAACTCCACAAACTCATCCAGTATTTTCTTATCATAAATATGTCTTTATAAAAAAGAATGTAAGATATGTCCCCCTCTTCTTCGGCCTTCTTAGGACTTTAGCGTTTCGACCTCCACCGACCATCATTCCTAATCTCGGCGTTGCAAAAGTGCGACAAGGTGAACGCAGAATGCCAGAATTTTCAGACTGGTTCAACCTGATACTTCGTTTTCGACTTTTGTCTTCGTTTAAGCTTAGTCTGTATCTCCTGCAACGTTTTGCCCTTTGTTTCTGGCACTACAAAGTATGCGAAAATCGCGGACGCGGCGGTGAAGCATGAGAATGTCCAGAAGGTCGCGGCCTGTCCCATCCTGTCTTCCATGGTCGGAAACAGTTTAGTGACGACGAACACTAGGCTCCAGTGCACTACGATGGACATACTGCTGGCAACACCCTTGGTTTCCGGCGGAAATATCTCGCTTATTACCGTGAACGGCACGGACCCGTAACCGATCGAGAAGACAATGTTAAAGAGAGCGAGGCTGGTCAGTGGCAACCACCCAAAGGTGCTCACGTCACTTCCTCCGTCTTTCAATCTGAAATAGTAACCCAGGACGCTCAGACAAATGGTCATCATCGTTCCGGATATTACCAGGAGCGGCTTTCGGCCAAATCTGAAGAAAGAAGACACGGGATCGATTTTAATTACACATAATATTAACGCGTTGTGTTTCTTGTTTAAAACTTTAAAAATCAAAGTTTGTGAAACCAAAGTAAATTAAAATTAACTCAATATAAGGAGATAAGAAGGAAAAAAGGAGAATGATCTCTGAATATTTTATTAACCGTAAAGACTGCATTAATTTTTTTTGAAGATATTTAAAGAAATTCTAAATTTATTTGCGAGAGATATATCATGCTAAAATGTTCTGACCTGTCGATTACGGTAGCCACAAATATTGTCATCACGACTTCGGTGAGTCCGATGATAATGGTCGCTAGGAAAGGATCGATCGTGCTGTTCGCCGCCTGAAAGATGTTGACTGTGTAAAATAGAACCGCATCCACGCCACATAGTTGCTGGAAGCACATGAGTCCCACGCAGGTAATTGCAGCTTTACGTCCCGCTTTGGTCCCAACGAGATCTTTGAATCCGCCTGACGCGTTCGTCATCCTATCGACGTCATCCTGGAGAACGGCTATCTCACCTGCGACATCGTAATGCGGCCCTCGCAAGATCGTTAGCACCTTGGCGGCTTGAGCCTTACGATCCTTTTGAACCAGCCACATCGGCGATTCTGGCATAAAGAGCACGCCCAAGACGAAGGGTACCAGAATGGCACAACAGGCGGCATTGAAGATCACATAGGAGCAATATGCACCCGCCACATACGAAAACAAGATTCCCGAGGAGAAGAGCAGGGGAAAGAAGGCACCCAGAGCACCGCGGATCGATGCTTGGGCGATCTCACCGGCATAGACCGGTACGAGAACGCAGGCCGCCCCGGCACCGATTCCGCCAATGAATCGAGCAGCGTACATACTGATAATGTTCCCGGTCGTGAGTAAAGCGACCCAGCACGTGGCGAACGGTATAGCTGTCAAGAGGATGGCCCACTTCCGACCGATTTGATCGGCGATCTTGCCGGCCGGCACAGCACCCGCAATTGCACCCAATGCCAGCAAGGACGTTATCCAGGAGATCTGACCTTCGACGAGTTCCGGAAGGAAGGATTCTGATGACGTGAGGTACGGTAGAATCGGCGACGTCCAACCAAGTGTTATACCAGCCTGCATACCACCTAGCGCAGCTGAAAATAAAAAAATATATATTCTCATCATCGAAGGAGGAGCTTTTTCAATTTAAGAAAATTGCTCTTGTTGCTGAAAATACGCGAAATAATTGTCAGGTTGAAAGGGAGATGACCATTGATAATAATTTAAAATTATGAAAATATGGCGGTGCGAGTGAGAAGGAATAAAGTCAAATTCAATGTGTCTTTTTATTCGGTATTTCTCGATACAGGTCTGGTCTCATCGGTGTTCGTCGATCGAATTCTTTTGTCTGTTATCCGTATCAGCTCTCTTTTCTCTCTGCCCTTCTTCGAAATTCTTTGTCATATATTCGAATTGTTCATTCTAAATAACAAATATCTTACAGACAAATATCGTTTCAAAGGAGAATCTGTTTATTATTACTGCTGTCTATTGTTTTTATTTTTCATATTCGTTAAATGCTTTACATGTTTTTCAACGTCTCGAAATTCTACTTTATAACCGCCTGACAATACAGTCGCGAAATATAATTATCGTTCCTAGCCAAATTACAAGAAATTACAATTGAAGAAATGAATTAATTTCGAGCTGATCGGATATTGATTCATGGAATGCCTTTCGCATTCGCATATATTTAATAAATGATGATTATTTGACTGAATGTTGCCGAACGAAAAACGTGTGGCCGTGAGAGTTGTGACGATGTAATCGCCACAATATGTTCTAAAAAAATCATCTAATTTTAAATTAATGATATTATATTTTATTCGTTAAAATAAAATGTGTTGAACATATGCTGAATAATTTCTATAAAAATTTTAGAAAAGATTATTTTGCATATTACATAATAATATTTATTGTTAATAAATTGATTAAAAAAGTTTTGAAGGAATAAAACTTCGTTAATTTATTTATCTGCAGTAAAGAAATTTTTGTGTAAAAATCAGCTATGACTTCTCGAGAATCATAACTTTCTCAAGACAAATGTTACATATAGATAAGTTGCTGATTCAGTCGTAGGCATGTTTGAAATCGTTTCTTTAGATAATATCGATATCGTGCAGCACGAGACAATCTGTCGGCTACACACATGTGTTATGCAACGAAACGAAAGAAGCAGTACATTGATCTTGGTTAAACGGTCAAGTTTTTTTGGATACTCATTATGGTGAGGAGGGATAAAATTTATATTCTTATAAATAAATTCTCTAAATTTATATTCTTCACATGATTCCTAATTTTACAGCATGAGCAAGAAATGCAGTGTTAAATTTATACCTCTCTATGAAATTTATTAAATTTTTTTTTATCTTAATTTGATTAATTAATCTTGGAAAATACGAGTTTTATATTTAGATATGCTGACAATTTTACAGTTAATAATTCTTTATTTTTTTTTTAGTGTGAAATATTTTAGTATTTGCGCGAAAGAGAGATTATTTATTAAAGTTCTTGACACATGTGATACCGAATTATCTTTTTATGACAATCAGATTATTTATTATCAACAGTCTGACGGTTGAATTACAGTATTAATTATTATACATTTATATATATATTTATATCGATATTTTATCAATTTTTCTTCATGATGATCAGACTATTTATTATCGATAATACAGTTAAATTACAGCGTTAATTATATAATATTTTATTAAAATTTTTTTTACATATTAAAGTTCCTATTAATATTTAAATATTTCTTTTAAATATTTCTTTACTACAATTAAATGAAATCTATAAAAATAATTTTGTTAATTTTTGCTCGAAACACTTAAAACTATTTCGAGGTTTCTGATAAGAAAACATTATCTTATACGGTATGTAACACAGCATTTTGATTATAATATATAATATCTAATTATTACTATTAGTTAAAGTATTAAAATAATGTTTTATCTAATAAGAAATAACACATAATAAATTGCATTTAATTTTATAATTAAAAAATAGAAGGACAAGTATAACATTAATTTAGCTGAAAGTTGTCATGTGATTTGGTCTTATCTCCAATTAAGTGAAAAGTCCACATTTCGAAATAAAAATTTAATGTAAAGTACACTGTTGACTATATAGCTATAATATTTCTCGAATTTTACGAAAATGTGTAGTTTTTATTTCAAGAAGAATCTCGAAGAACAATTCCGGTTTTTAGTTGAACAATTTTCGCGCATCACGGCACGATTAATCTCTTTTAATGAAGCTCTAATTTGACGGTTAAAAATAAACTCTATTGCGAGTATAATAGAGTATAATCCATATTACTTATAAAAAGATAAAGCTATCTTTTCATTTTTCAGCATGAATAGTCAGCATGAATTCTTTATCATTTATGCTTATAATAGAGTGTTTATAATTGAAGCTATTTAACATGATCTTTACTCGTCATAACTTATCTTTAATATAGTTTATTTTTAAAGAAATAAGGAATAATCATTTATGTTTGTTTTGTAAACATTGTTTTGATGGTGATATGATAATTTAAGTGCTTCTGCCAAGAACGTATCACGTTAGTAGATACATGCCAGAAATACGGGCCAACATATCAAAAATACGTGCCGGTACCGAGAAGTTCAGAAGATCTTATATAAATTCCGCGCAGAGATTATATTTATTAGTATATATTAGTATATTAGTATATTTATTAGTATACTCACCGCACAAAATGACTAGAAACTGAAAGCGTTTTTTTCCATCGCTAAAAGAGACAGAATTATTCAACACTTGTGACGTGCGCTTTTTTTTATCCGATAAGGTAATGAGAAAGGGTTTCAACGTCACGTCGTTAACGCACGTCGTCGTGGTGGTGCCCATCGTCATCGTGAAACGGGATTGAAGAGAAAGAGAAAGGGAAAAATCCTTAGAAGAAATCACTGGCCCGCGATTATCACAAACGCGCTAGTTGAGACTGTCACGAGATAAAAACCGAAAAGTAAAACGTGCTCCGCACCGCGTCGCGTCGCGCTTTCTTTGGCTCGCTCGTTATTCCGATGCGTATTATATATCGCGCCGATTTATATCTCGAACGAACGCTTATCGTTGCATCTTCCCCAGAAAAGCGTCCGATACCACCAGCGTGTCATTGGCGTTTGTTAGGTATACCCCGCGAGAGTCTTTATCTGCCACGCGAAGGATGTCCGTCTATATTAATACTGTGACTTGAAAGACGATGATGAAGACCCAATGACGAGAAGCCGTGAGATAAGCCGAATCTCTTAATTGAATCTATAATGTCGCGTTTTGTTTCTTTCCGTAATATTCGTGTATACTGCACTTATATGTATTCCTAGCAAACATATTTATCTTAAGTAGCAGTTATCTTCTGTATGAATTTTATGGCTCCGTTGTTCTGCTCGAGTCGGAGTAATAATGGAAAAAGTTTCATTTTATATTTTAGAATTTTATGCTAATTTATTTTATGCTATTTATATTAATGTCCTCATCTTTTTATTAAGAAAATGGTTACTTTATGTACGTATATAGACAAGTTACCTTTGAATTTGTGATGTAATCGAAAAAAATCGATTTCCAATAAAAAAAAATGAAAATGTAAAATGAGATTGATTTAAAAATTTTAATATAAAGTTTTGTAAACAATATTATTTTTTTTCTCCTTCTTTTATTTCTCTTTCTTCACAAAGAGAAATTGTTTCAGTTAAACTATTACTATTACTATTACTATCTTCTTAAAGATATCTTGTATATTAATAAAAGAATTCACGCGTCATTGGAAATACATTTTTTTTTTTTAATTGTATTTCTGTTTAACTCATGAATCTTGAGAAAACTCTTGAATCTTGAGAAAATATTTGCGAATGGAAGTGAAATTGGAGACATTGCTTGCTCACGAGGTCAAAAGAGAAACATCATACAAATGAAGAATAAATCTTACTTGTATCTAAAAAGTTACCATTTAAAAGTTTCAAGAATTCTTTTATTTCTTCCATATTGTTGCAATATTCATCTAAGGTTTAGAGAATGTTTCGTGTTCTAAATTAAATTTTATACCGCTGTTTATTATAATTTTTACACACACACAATCTACAACATAGAGTTGATTTTTGAGAAAGCAGTAGAAGTGTAAGAAAATAGGCAAATGACACATAAATAATTAGTCCAATATCTATATATTGGTAAACACGCGTTACAGCTCATTATTTTTGAAAATAGTTATTTTATTTTTATTTAATAGATATTTAATTTTTTTCATAATTTTTATCTTTATATCTATATATTGGTAAACATACGTTACAGCTCATTATTTTTGAAAATAGTTATTTTATTTTTATTTAATAGTTATTTAACTTTATTAAATTATAATTTTTATCTTTGTATATCGGAATATCTATAAAACGTTCTTTTTATTTTACGTTTAGCAACAGACAAAATGCATATTATTGGCATAAAATAATAAACCGAAAGCTAAATATGGAATTAAGACGTTAAGAATCATAACGCGACAGTCTGCTTTCGCAAGACAAAGCTTTGCTAAAAAAAGCGAAGATGTATGCTATCTTGAGAGTATTGATCGTCTTTTTCAAATACAAAACCCGCTTTATTTTAATTACAAAAATTTTTTTATATTTTAATAACGTTATACATTTTTACTCGTATTCGAAAATATGTTTAATTTTAATTTTTATAAAATTAATAGCAAAGAAGAACGTTATTTTTGAAATGATTGACATTAATTAAAATTAAATTTTGTATTATTATTATTATTATTATTATTATTATTATTATTATAACATTCAACAAATTTCATTAAAGTCATTTTTTATCTTAATTAACAACTTTATAATTGAATTTTATTGCGCATACATCTTCGCTATCTTTTTTTATCATATATTGCCATTTCGCAAGATTGACAGTAAAAGCGTTTAATGTGAAAGAAAATTCACAAAGTAAGCATAATGTGTACGCAACAAGAATAAGTCGCTGTATGTGCCAATCTATGTAACAACAAATGTGTCAATATATACTTCTGATGGGCGTTGTCGGCGATGAGATATCGCATCATTATCTCATTACATTA